ATATAAATGCAATATGACAATTCACTGACTAAAAAGGCAAAAACCTACTTACACAGTGAAACAATGAGATGGAACTCTCACTCTAGGTTCATCACAGGGACATCTTTCACATTCATATTTTTTGCATTTCATATTTCATATTGTCAAATGTATCAAATTCCATTCTGGAAACAATGTGTATAAAGTTAAGGATTTTTTTTCATTTCGAGTAGAAAGCTGGAGGTGGCATGCAGTTAGCCTAGCTTAGCATAAAAACAACAGAAAACTAGTTCTTGACAATCATCTGCACAGTGTGACTCCATGAAATAATTTTTACAGCACATTGGCCACTCTAAAAACACAAATTGTAATTTTAACATTTTGTTTGTGTTCTGTTATGATCAAATAAGCAAGAAATGAGTTAATAAGAGCCTCAGATGTTGTAGTTTTTCTTTCTGTTTCCAGTTTCCCAGCTCCAGCTCCCAGCTCCAGCTCTGGTCTTGTTGAATACATGTGGCAGTAGTTGATCTTTTCCACCAACTTTAAAAAGTTGTATTTCCCACAATGTTGAAAGGCACCTCTGCAAGTGAGGGTGAAATAAATTCCCTGATTTCCTCATGTGTCATTCAATCTTTACTATATTTGATCCTCATTTTTCATAACTTCTGAGTTTCCAGCACCCGTGTATATAGCACACAGCTCTAATAAAAGAGTTGGCCGGAGCGCTCTCTCGGAACATGATGTGTTGCCATGATCTTATCTTCAACCTGCAGGATTTGGTTTGCCTTTCTTTGCTTATGTACTCTAGAGTGATTACAACATCTAACATTTCACTGAGAGATGTCTTTCATAAGTCAGCAGACTGGGCCTGTATGGAGCTCCTTGTTCTTTCACTTAAGCTTTTTTTTAGTTCAGACTTACGTGCCAAACACAACCTGAAGTGTGCTGGGAAATCCCTCGCAGAAACAAGAGAGGACAGTCTGTTGTCCAACATGACGAACCTTCTGAGACTTTCTGAGGAAGTGTGAGGGACATTCTGTGGCTTGCCTGCACATGTGGACGGTGACTGGAAGTCTTACTTCCATTGCTCTCAATAACCAAATAATCAAAGTTGTATGTATTATGTGTAACAGCCTCGTTCTGCCAGAACTC